ATAACTATGAAAATAAATATAATAAATAAAATAATGATAAACATAATAATAAAGAAAATAAATATCACAACGATAACCGTGATAGTAGTGAAATTAGTGAAATTGATGATCACGATTTTTCTGGTGATCATTGGTGACATTAGTTGGCGCAGTCATTTAGTGACACAAACGGATTATCACTAATAATGTTAATTTTGATATATACAATCTAATAGTAGATTTCTAATGTCTGGATATTATAACTTAAAAAAATTATGTAAATCAATTTCTTTTTCAAAATACTCATATTTTCAATTCTTATTAGTTTAAACATTCTTCTTTTTTAACAATAATATTATATCTACTTGTACATTATATATTGCATTACAATAAATTATTAGATTTTATAAATTTTACTTATTAATATATAATAAAATTGAAGATTTTCAAATTGCATAAAAATTTATAAATTTTTAATAAATTTTACTTTAAATTTTTAATTTAATAACCAATCAATTATAATTTTAAAAAATTATAATTTAAAAATATTTTATTTATAAAATATTGAAAAAATACTCATTTGTAATAGAATTAGTCTTAGATTAATTATAAATGAAATTTTTGTTACTTATTGTAATTTATATTTTGTTTTTATTTTTTATTTTATTATAAATATATAAATAACTTATTTTATCATAATAAAAACTTAGCAAAATTACCACACTTTAAAAAATTATATAAATTAGTTAATTATATAATCCTAATTATATAATAATAAAGAGAAATTATGCATAAATTTAATATTTAAAAGAAATAATAGGTTTACCTTAATTATTAGTATAATTATTAGTTTATAAAATAATAAAATCTGAATATTATGAATAAACTTAAATTGATTTATTAATGAAAAACAAACACTAATAATATCATTACTAGCAAATCTTTTTGATATATTAATATCATTGTTAATTTTAAGAAAATCTTCATTTAATAATAAATTAGATAGAAATAATAAAATAAGTAAAAATATATTTGTAATATCCTTTTTTATTTGTCTTAATAATAAATTATTTTATTTAATATTTTATAAATAAGATTTTTAAATGCAAAATTTAATTTAAAAAACTTTTACTTAATGTATTAAAAACAGTTTTATAGACAAAATTTTCAGTTATAAACAGTTTCTTAAAATTTTTTAAAAAATTTTTATTTTCATTACACAATTTGATCTTTTGTTTTGATTTGCTAAATTATTAATATTACACCTGATCTTAAATTTTGATTGGATAAAATTATGAATATTACAAATAAAACGTATAATATGATATTATAATTAGATTTATCCATAAAATAAAATTAAGAAATATAAAAATAAACTAAAAAAAAAATAAATTAAATAAAAACTTAGAAATAAAAAAAGATAATAAATTAAAAAAATGAAAAGAAGGAATATTTAAGACTATTATTATAAAATAAGAGAAAATATAAAATAAAAGATAAAGTATTAGTAAACTTTATCTTAAGTTAGGCAAATATATGAGATATCAAGTATCTCTTTAATATGTATATTATTATTGTTAAACTTTATAAATTTAATTTATTATTGAAGAAAACAAAACATTTTGAATCATAAACTTAAAAGAAATAAAAGAATGAAAAATTAAAGAATAATAACAAAATAAATTAAAGGAATATAAGAAAAACAACAGAAGAGTTATAATAAAATTAAATTAAAAAATACAAGTAATCCAAAATTAATAAAATATAGCTCATTTTATTTATCTTTATAAGAAAAATTGAATAGTATTTATTTTATCTCAAATGGATATTAAATTTTTTAATTAAAAATTTAAATCAGATTTGGGTTAGATCAGGTATCTCAACTGATATGACCTGAATTTTTCAGGTTGACCTGTTGGGTACCTGACCTATTGAATCAGATTTGGAGCTCTATGCATTAAATTAATGTTATATTGCATGTCTTATATGAAATTATTACACAAAGTAATGTAAATCTTAAATAAAATAATTATTATACAAAGCTATATAATAATTATCAAAAATAATAAAATTGAATTTATTTATCAAAATAAAAATAAAAAAATAAATAGTATAATTAATTTTATTCGCTAAAATGTATTCGTCTATTGCTATCATAAAATTCAAATATAGTAATTAGTTTTGTAAAAAATTTTTTATAAAAATTTGTTTTATGATATGGTATTTTTCCTTGAGTTAATTAAACTAATTTTAAATAATCAGTTACCAGATTAAAACAAAATCTATTACTATTGAAAGTTCTAAGTTTTTAATTAATTTGATAGATTATTAATGATGTTGATTATAAAAATCAGAAGCAACAATTACAAACTTTATAAGAAACTATAATGTATTGTAATAATAGAAATCTTCAAGACATAGATTAGCGCAATATTGCTTTTTTGCTTGAAAAGATATGTTTGAATTGTAAATTAGAAAGAATAATGATTTATTACGACGGCAAACTGGTCTTATTGTGTAAATATATGTGGCATTTAAACATTTTAGCTAAAATGACCATGTGATCACTTCCGGTCATGTGCCAACACTAACTGTCCGTCTTAATAAATGGATTTTAAAATCAACAATAATTTTATTATTTCCCTTCCTGCTTTAAAGAAATTTTGCATATTTTTCGTCCCTCAACTACTTTACGCCCCCTCGGACGATATGTTGAAAGTATGAATTTATCTATCCATTCATCTCCAATCAAGATTTGACGCCGAGTTATTAGTTTCCGAAACCATCTTCACTATGAGAACAAGAAATTATATCCTTTAAATCCTTTTCAAGTCTTAATCCTAAATTCCTCCCTTTTGAGATTTAATTGATATATATATATAATATTATCACGTTAAGAATGAATGGTTGATGATGAATTAATAATATAATAATATGATAAGAGAAAAAATATAACTTTTAGTTTATTAAGAAGTAGAAGAAATTTCACCGTTTACTTGCCTCAGGATCTAAAGAGAGAAGGTCTATTCCTAATAAAAAAAAATGTCATTGTATCCTTTGAAAGAGATAGGCATATGAATAAATTTCATTTGGTTAAGAGAATTAAAATAATATTTCGAAAAAAAATATTAGGATATTTGAAATCAGCATTAATAAAAAATCAAACCGAAATTATTAAGCATTCGCACATAAAAATTTTAATGAAATTTCTTTATTATATAGTCGAATCAAATATACAGTAACCAATACGCCCACGCAATAACTTTCCAATAAACATTCCACCAAACATAGATTTTTACAATTTCTAAGTAACTTCAAATTAGCAAATTCTCACATAATAATCACTATATAACTATTCTAGAGCATTAAGAACTTTAATTAACGGAACCTTGAATTCTTTCGAAATTTCTGGAATTGATTCGGGAAGTTTTTTTGCATCATCATCATTATGAAATTCGACGTTACTTTTCCTTTTAAATCTCATTAACAACTCAAATTCTTCAATCGTTATATCATATTTCACTAGAAATTCCATAAATCTTGGAATTTCACTTGCATAAGCTCATCCAAAATCTATCTTATTCTTCCTTATCTTATCGTTGAAAGCTAAGTTTACTCTGTTCCAACATTCCTGGGTTAATTCATCTACTATAATATCTATAAAATCAGTGATATAATCCATTAAACAACTTAAAGTTTTTGCTTCGTTTAATATATTTAGTGTTTTTTCTGCGATAGTAATCGACGTCTGGATGTATTCATTTTGTTGTTTCATCATTTCACGTATATGCTTTGAGTTATCTTTGAGTTGTTCAAGGTTAGATTTACATCCTTCAATATCTTCGTTTTCAAAGCCTTTAGTCATGTTTTCAAAAATATATTCTTGTTCTTCATGCCTATTTTCTAAAGGTTTCTTAAGTTTTGAATTTTTAGACTTCAATTCTTTTAAAGTGTCATTGATTTTATAGTCATCCATAGATAAATGATTTTCAAGGCGAGAAAAAAAAATTGTTTATTCTTTTAACGAAAGATAGTTTATTTTTTTTATGTATATATAATCTTTAACGCGTTGCACCTATTAGGAGGACTTTTCATATGATTGGTTAATTAAGTTGCACGAATTTTGTGTCGACGTAATATTAGCACATTTATCAAATGACAGACTTCTAAATTACAAAAAGGAACGTTAATTCTATTCTGAAACTTCTAAAATCAAATCTAACTATTATCAAAGAATAGCAAGCTCACTTCCATATTAAAATTTAAAAGTTGAAAGCATTTGTAGGGATATGATTCGCGACCATCTAGAATTTTGGCCTACAATTATATTAATTTTTGACAATTTAACTTTGGGATAACTGCAAAAGCGGATTTGTTGACAGATGAAATACTTTATATGCATTAATGTTAACGTAATTATTGCCACAACAATTACATTGAAGATTCTTTTATCCTTTAACCATGCAACCGCACCATTGATAATTGTCTTAATTCTGAATACCTATAAATGCACTCGATATAAATCTTGCAAGCGCGTGCTAGTGTGAACGAGGTATGATACCACGCAAAACACATTTGGCTCCCCTTGATAACAAAAACTCAAAAGCTAACCTCCCAAATTTATTTTTTTTTGCGAGAACAAATTTATGTTAAACCTATATATACAGGAGCCAATTAGACATTGAACTTAAGCTATAGGTTTTCATCACGTGCATTCAATTATACTTAGCTTTACAATTTTACAATGAAAGGTGGAAACCAAAAATGAGGTGATGTTGAATGTATTCAGCCCGAAAAGCATTTTTAAAATTAATTTACGTTCGTAAATTCTGTAGCCGATTGATTTACAATTGCATAGTTCGTACCTTTGTCGCACAATTTACAACATAAATATTTTATTTTATTTTTTTTTTTTAATAAATAATTTTAAAGGAAATTCTATAATATCTAATTATACCATATTTATATGTATGTGATCTATATTTAAATTTAAAACCTTATCCCACCCACCACGAAAAGTAAATTACAATGTATTAAATTATTATTATTAACCTATGAGCAAAGATCAAAAAAAAAAAAGGATTGCAGAGATTTTTTGACGGTGTGAATCGCGTCCGACTCGAATAAACCGATTTAAAAACCGGAAAAGAGAGTTTTGCTGGTAATTTTAAACATTTCTAATTCCTCCATACCTCTTTCTTGACCTCTCGTTAAGGCCAAATCATAACCCGCGGCCCTAACTCTACTCAAAACAGGATCTCTGGTATCTCTACCTTCACCAAAACTAAACATAAAACTGTCATGTCTAGCCGATATGTTATTACTCCAAACACTACTAATATACATTCCAAAAATTTCTTCCGTCGATTTAATTTTCATCAACATGATGGTTTTAGCTTGTCCCCCACAACGTTGATGTAGGGTTTGTTGGGAATAACCATCACAACTTCCGCGCATCAAAAGGGAAAATTCATAAGGAATCTCTGTATGTGCATATGGTTTTCCTTCTTTTTTATCAATCCAAGTGGCAATCAACGCTGCATGTTTTAATGTTATTAATTTACTATCAATGGTTTTCAATCTTGGTTCAAATGGTGTCGGTTGTATGTCCGGTGATAAAAAATGCCATAATATTGAATCATATAATTTTGAAGGTATGCAATCTTTATATGGCCACACTTTCTCCCTGAATTCTGTTGGTTTCATAAGGGTAAATCTAATGAGTGGAACGCAATCATCTAAAATCTTTTTAAAGGCTTGCATCGTTTCTGAATCCCATTTAATAGGATCAGTTGAAATTATTGTATTGGATTCACTCGTGATTAATTGTTTTTTGGCCCATCGAATCACATGATTCCACAATTCAATTTCTTCCATCGCTAAATCGTCCCGCTTTAACAATGATTTGAGTATGGTCGAATCCATACAATCGAAATATTCACTACAAAAAAGTAATGGCGGATCCGCACAAATGGCTTTTAAACAGTGTTCTTGTAATTTATCGTAATTTAGGTTTGAAAATGCAAATTCCAACACGCGATGAAAATTTTCTTGTACCCACATTGTCCTATCATTAACTAAGGTATCTTGTAATTCATCTACGAATTCCTTCAAAAGTAATTCATCTGATGCTGTCATAAGTGACAAAATGAAGTCCCCATCTTGATTCTCGATTTCGGATTTTCCCGAATACATGTACCTAAAAGGAAAGAAAAAAAATTTTTTTTTTTTTTAAAAAAAAAAAATTTTCCTTAAAAACATTTGGGGATAAAACTCACTTTAATATAACGTCAAATACCGGAGGAGAGACGTTTGGTTTGTTAAATATAACCTTGCCATCTTTTTTTTTGGCCCACATACTTGAAAGCGCTTTATGAAAATACGATGAATGCGTTCTTAATATAACTTTGTGTGCTTTAAATGATTTCACTAATGGCTCCTGTCCGACGTTGATAACCAAGTCGTATTCGTCACCTTCTTCTAATAATCTGGCAAAATTGAGACTAAAAGTTTTCCAATGTTTACTCATTTTTTTTTATATTTCTTGTATTATTTACGCTGATAATTTTTTTTTTTTTTTTTAAAAAAAAAAAAATTTTCAAAAGATATATGGTTCTTATTTCTGGGGGGAAAAAAGGGAAAAAAAAAAAATTTTTTTGATGTTTAATTTCAATCTTTTTATACCGTAGAAAAACTTATGATTTCGTTTCACATACATCAAAAAAAGCATAAGTCCACAGACGTTCATCTGACTTTTGCCTAATATAATAATTCTTTCATTAAGGTTTTCCGAATTATTCCTGATTTGTTCTAGTTTTATTAAGAAACGTCTAAAAGCGTATATATTTGTTTTTTATGTAACCATAACGTCACCCAACAAATAATATATCCCAAATAAAACTATTTATAGTTCACATGATAAACTCTGTGTCATTACTTTTGATGTTACCTAATGAATTTGTGAGAAATGACGCAGGCATCCTATGGAAGGTAAAAGAAGGAATTCCTATTACACTTTACACTTTTACACATGTCAAAAGCTGATCTTATTCAAAGTAAGAAATTTCGTTAATATAAATATAATGATTAAACTATACTGATTTGTTTATGTTAGATCGATTTGCTTCATTTTTTAACAAATTCAAAGAGATGCAGATTTCATGTGTTATTTTGATGATTTTATATGTTAACTTTGTATATTTAGAAATTGATGTTGTAAGGGGAGATGATGAAATTGTTAGAGAATTTCAATCAAACAAAGTCATTACTGAAACTTATAAAGTAATCGTAATAATCAAAGTTAAAGACTCAATTGTATTTCACAATGTTATTTTTTTTTTTGTTTGAAATTATTATGCAACAATATATTAAATAATGTTGAACGAACAAAAGAAAGTAAACAATAAAAAAAAATCTTTAATTTACACCGAAAACATTCTTTATTTTCCTTTGTGGGGTAGTTTAGATAATAGAACGTATTTATCTAATCAAGTTTAACAAATTTTGCCCAAATTTAGTAATAATTTTCAAATCAATCAAATAATGATTTATTTATAAATCTTAATATTTAAAAATTAGTATTATATACTTTTACAAGATTTTTTAATATTCTAAATAAGAGTAAATTATAGTTTTTATAAAGAAAATACTTTTATCAAAAAAAAATTTAAAACTTTTAATTAAATATAATAATATTTATTCTTATTAATTAATAACTTTTATATTAATTTAAATTTAAAATATAAAATTTAATTTTATATATTTTTATATTATTAAAAACTTATATAACTAACTTTAAAATTATGAAATTTAAGTATAAATTGTGTAAAATTTTAAAAATTTAAAAATTTATTTAAAAAAAAATTATATTAATTTTAAAATACTTTTTTTTAATTAAAGATTATTAATTTAATAATTATTAAAAATAACTGAATCTTTAATTTAAACAATGTCCTATATAATATTTTTTTTGTATAATTTTTCAAGATCTATTATGACTAAAATTTGGAAATACTTTACAATTAACATTTTCTTTTAGCATACCTATTCTAAATTATCTACTCAATTATCAGTTTTAATACAATTAATATGATTAACAAAAGGTTTATTTTTCAAATTAAGAATATATACTTCTACAACTAGTTTGTAAATATTAACAGATGTATAATTATTATTTTATTAATCTTTGTTTATATATAACCATATTTTTTATGAATACTTTCTTTTAAAATCCTACTATTTTTATTTTTAATATGGTTAATATTAAAAATAAAATAATCTATTCCTGCTATAAGTAATCAAATCTTCATTTTAAAAAATATATATTTTTTAAATTTAGATAAATCTCATAAAGTTATCATTTTTTTTATAATAACACTTTATTATTATAAAATTATATTATAGTTAATTTCTAATATAAAAAACAACTTTAATAATTAGGCAAAGTTATTCAAACTCTTCTTTAATGAAAACTAATTACATAAATAAATATAACTATTAGCTAAATTGATATAAGAAAAGAAAGTTATCTCAAAATAAAGAGACAATTAATTTACTAGAATCTCTAGTTTTAAATCTTAAAAGAAGCAAAGATATTTTACAATTAGTTCAATATAACTTATTAGTAAGTATATATTATAAGACATAAAGTATAAACTTTAGAATTAGGCTTAAATTTTAAAAATGATAAATTTAAAAAAAATTTCTTTAATTGTCTCTTTATTAACAATAAAAGTATATAATCATATTCAGAATTAAGAAATTCTTAAATAAATAATATTTTCTATTTTTTTACAGGATACCTATATAGTTAGAGTAGAGTAATGCTTTAGTAAAAGATTTTTATCAAAAGCAAAAAAAGTATACAAAGCTTTCTAGATATAATGAAAAAAAGTATGATAAATTTATTTATGAATTGTTATCTATAAATCAGATAAAATAAGATTATATAAATTAGATCTTTTTTTAGATAAATTAATAAATAAACTAGCTAAACTTAAAGTATTAGAGAAACTTGTTATATAATTTATTTTTTATTCACTTGAAAATATAATATATAAAATATATTACGAAAATGATCAGAAGAAGAATAACTGATCAAAAATATTTATGTAATAATATAAAACTATTATATAAACTTTTAATGACTTAAAGAAAATATTATATAAAAATAAGATCAATAAAGTAGATTTAACAAGCATTAAGTAATTTATTTCTAATAAGTGATTACTCTTTATTCTAAAATAGTCCATTATAAATAATAACTTATTTTTTTTTAGAGTTTTCAAGAAGGTTAATGATGATAAAAGATATTTAATTATTATATAAGGATATAATTTTAAAACTTTTAAATATAGAAATAATGATAAATATAAATAAGGTAATATATTATAAATTTATTTCACTAATTCTTTATGTATCTATTACTATAGCTAGAAAACTTATCTCTCAAGATAATTTCATAGAATAGATAATATATATGGGGCCTTTGCAATAGAAAGGGAGGAAACTCCAAAAAAATTAAAATTTTAGTTTATAAGCCAAAAATGTTTCAAATACTATAATTTGTTTAGATTTATTATTAACTCATTTTTTATTTTTTTTTGAGTTTTCTTCCTTTTTATTGCAAAGGCCCCATATGAGAAATTCCTCTATTATATAGATCTGCTATATAATTATTTATTTATTATATAATCTATAGTTCAACAGTAAATATTCTGAATTGAAGATCATACAAATTACCTTTAACCTGTTCTAAAATAATAATTATTATTCTAAACTTTAATTTTCATATTAAATATATTATCAGAGGTAACATAATCATAATAAATAATAAATTTGATTATTTTAAAATATTTACTTAATTATATAAAATACTTTTATATAATAAAAAGATATAATAATTATTTAGAAAAAATTTAGCATTAGTAATAATACAAATTAAGTAATAAATTATTAGAGTAAGAAAGTAAAAATATTTGCTAATTATTTTAAATTTAGTAAAAGATTTAATTTAATATAAGAAAATTTAGATATTAATGACAATTCTATTCTAGTAATAAAATATCAGAGTAATAAAGTTTCTACAGATTTGTTATTTTAAAATTATATAATTTACTTTTATATTTAAAAGAATAGTGTTTAGACCCAGTTTGTTAATAGATAAACTGGATTTATCCATTAAGAAAAAACTAATCCGGATTGATAACTGTTAATAAAATTTTAATCTGGTTTATTTATAGGTTTAATCCGTTAAATTAATGAGTGGATAAAAGATGGATACCGGTTTATTAACGGTTGGATAACAGTTTAACGGTTGATTAACAGGTTGTTTATACCTAGATATTATGATTTTGATGTTGTAGAAGTACCAAAATTTTTATCGATGTTAGCATTTTCCAAATAAACAAATTCAAATTATAAGAATTAAACTAAGCCTATTATTTATTGCAATCGGATTTGGCAATACGCTCGATACTGACTAAACAAATCAGTTTATTAAATTAAATAAGCCCGCTTGTAAAAAAAAATTTTCTTACTCATTTTTTGCATTCATAACATTTATTAAACCTGCGAAATTATTAATTATAATGGATATTTAACAAAAAATAAAACTTTTATTAAAGTCAGTATATTGGTACAGTATGTTTAATTAGTTGTATTAGGATGAATTGTATCAAAATTAGACGCATTTCTTTTTAAAAATATAATCTTCTTGAATAATTCTGGCTTCATACGTGTCCTTTTATTAGTTAATAGATTACCGGCATCAGAAAAAAGTCACTCACTTGCAGTTGATGTTGCAGAAACTGCCAAATACTTTCGAGCAAGACGACTTAAAATAGGAAATTTGTCTTTTCTTTCATTTCACCATGCAAGAGGATTTGAACCTAATGGAATCTCCGGTAGTTAAAGATATTTACCAACTTCATTAAGAGCAACTACATTATCTTTAGCAAGTCATGCCATTAAAGTTTTTTTTTTTGCTAAAGATTTTGGTTGAGATACTTCTAAAGAATTAGGTATTCCAGTTTCTTTTTGATAATCTTCTTTTTCTTGTTCAAACAATTCATATAAATGCCGTTCAGTATTAACTTATTGATCTATTAAAGCAAAGTCAAGTTTTTTCAACTGAGGATCTAATATTGAAGGAATTAGATTTTCGGTGGTAAGTGTAGGATAATATTTTTTTATATTTGTAAATAATTTTGATTTAACTTTATCAAGTAAACCAAAAGTATTAACTGGTTCATTAATTATAATATTTCTGTTTGTTAATTCCTCTTCTTTGTCATCATTTTCAAATACATCATCTTGTTCATTACTATCGGAATCTTTATCATATGATAATAAATTTGTTGTAAGTGTTTTAGTAATTTCCATCAACATTGGTTTATATAAACTATTGATTATATAATTACTTCCTCCTAATACTTCTATTACTTCTGCAAATACTGATAATACTTCTGTTAAATCCATAATAAGATCCCATTCATCATCATTAATCATTATTTCTTTCAACCTTTTAGCATCTTTTTTTTGAATTTTGATCTGTATAATTTGAAATTGTATTTAATAAAATTTTAATCCATCCTTTTAGATATAATAAACGTTTCCATGCAAGAAAACTCGAATTCCAGCGTGTAGATATATTATTAATCAATCGAAGATATTTAGCTGTATCTTTAGCATTCTATAATTAATATATAAATTAAAAAATTATAATAAAAGTAAATATAATTTAAAAAATAATTAAAATAATTTTCAAATTTATTAAAAAAAAATAATATTTATATAAATATATAATTAAATTTTAAATATAACTTTAATTATAAACTAAATTTTTTAAAAAAAAAAAAATAAATAAATCTTACAATATTTGTTTCTTCCGTTTCAATTTCCAAACTATCTAATATATTTGCATTTGAATATTTTTATTAAATATCTTCTAAGCGTTCTGATTGTTTAGGACGTATAAAAAATTCAATTAATTTTTTTACTCGTATAATTAAAACTTTTACAGGAACTAAACCTTTTCTGATTATAAGTTGAAGAGTATGTGCATTACATCCTTACCATTTAATTGCATTCATATTTAAAATTGTTTTTTATATTTGGTTTATTATCAGTAGTAATCATATAAACTTTTTCATGTAAATTCCATTTTACAAGAATATCTTCTAAACTTTCAATAATATGTTGAGCATCATGAGAGTACTGGATATAATTAATAGATAAAGTAATTTCATTAAGATTAAATTTTGAATCAATATAAGAACAAGTTACACCAATATATTCTTGCCCATTTCTTGCGGTCCACATATCAGTGGTTAATGATACACTTCTTGCTTCTGTATTAGTTTTTTTAATTAAAATTGGTAATGTAAAATTATAAGCATAATGAATAACTTTTTTGATTCCTTTTTCATCAGGCATTATAAAGGCTAGATCTAATTCACTAATAAATCGACGAAATGATTGATTTTAAACTACATATAATGGTTGAAGGTCATCAATTATCCAATCAACTAAAAATTGTCAAAGTTCATTTTGACGATTTTCTTTATGTTTCTGAACCCAAAAAATAGCAGGAAGAGTTTGTTGTTTCTATAAAAAAAAATAATAAATTAAATTATAATTTTTTGACTTAATAAAATCAAAAAAAAATACATACATTATTAGTTTTACCATCCTTTGATAATTCATGATCAGTTAATAAATGATTAATAGCATTTTCAGTTAAATTGTCATTAACATAAAGAGTTCCACATTTATTTCCTTGAATATCTAAAACTTTACATCTTTTAAGCAATTTTCCTTTGTCATTTGTTTGTTCTACATCTTCAAAGTAATCCCAAGTCCAACTTCTTTTTTTTCGATTTAGTTTTATTTTTGTTGTTGATTGTTCTTCAGAAGTCAAAGGACTATCTTGTCTTATATTACTTGTATCGTTTATATTATAAAACAAAGTAACTAAAAAAAGAAAAAAAAGTTTATGCATTATCTAATTTGGCGTTTATTATAATCAGATATCCGATAACCTATTTAAATGCTATAGTTATCTGATATTCTTTATCAGATTTAATCATTATATCCGATAGCTAATTTTAATATCTGGTTAATCAAATTTTATATCAGATAATGAGCCCGAATACTAGGTATGCGTCTATAATATAGATAATATTTTTTTTTATTTATTAGCTTCAGATAATAAATATTTATGAATATTTAAAATTTGATGATGAAAATTGAATATATTTTTACCAATTCAATTATACAGTAAATATTCACTTAATAACTAATAGCTTTGAATAATATTTATTAATGAAATCGCGAATTTTTTTGATGATCGTCTTAATAAGCAGTATGTAGGTGAATACACTACCTAAATCATTGCACAATTTGTTTAATTTGTTTATGATGATTTTAGTCATAATTTAATACATATTTTTTTTCGATCAGTAGGTAATCTGTTATTCAAAAATTACATATTATGTGCCTAAGATTAGAATCATGGTACTAGTACTAATAATAATAATTTACATTTTATTATGGCATGCTGTAATGGTGTAATATTAATCCGTTAGTCCTGATAACCCATTACACATCCGGATTAATGTTAAGTATTCAATATCCGATATCCATTATCATATTCAACTGGTTAAATTCGTTAATAATTTTTTAAACCCGGATGATAATCTGTCTAATAAATTTCAAACCGGATATCCGATAATAACAGATATCCGTTTTTATCCATTATTAACGGTTTACGGGTCTAAACACTATTCACACTTGAGTAAAAATGTGTAGTAAATTTCACTGACCTGCTTTTAAAACTTTAGCTATTACATAGTCAATATCCTTCACGCTTAACCTCGAAATAGTCGACACAGAAAAAGACTTAATACAATTTATCTTATCCACCCTCCAACCCCATTAAAAAGTTTAAAGATCTTTATTGCCTTTTCCTTCCTTTTTCTAAGATTAGCCTCCGAAGTTTTATCTTGGTCTGAAAAATACTCATGAATTTTATCATTAACAAGAGAATTAGACGTATCATCACTATATGTTTTTTAGGTCTAAGCCACTAAATAAAATAATAAAAACACATGCACCTTCCGTTTCAATTTGGAACACAGATCACTTTTATCAAGAAAAAATTTGAATTTTATTATAGTATGTAATTTGTAACGTCACAATGGTGCAGTAAAGTTTTATTATCAGCAAGAATTCTGAAATTACTAATGAATTGATCCTAAACATTTTCCAAGCAAAATTAAATAGAGCAAGAAGAGAACCTCAAAAAAAGCATGGCAAACGTGATATTTTTGTTGAAGAAAGAATTTCCTGTGACGGCAAAAAATATCATCTAATTTTTTGATCGATTTCATTATAATTTTGTCATTTTGTATCAATAGACCATGGAACAACAATTGTAATTGGTAGAGTATCTGTACCCATTATTTCTTGCAAAAAATCTGCTTAATCTTGGGTTCTTGTATTTACTGTCTTCACGCACTCTATGATCATTTTCTATTGTAAATAGAAGATAATGAGCAATAGTGATTTCTATGATGAAGCTGACAAATACAGAAAATAAATCATACCTTCATTTTTCACACATTAGCCAACACCCTGATAAGATCCTTTATTCTTTCAACTGTAGCTAACACATCAAGGAGTTTTTCTTGTTTTAATATTATCACATACCCTTTGGGATTACTCATTTGTAAGACTTGCAATTTGAGGCCTACTCAAATTAAATCAGTTATTTTGACAAAATATTAAAAACTGTAGATTTATTTATTTACTTATCCATGTGGAGCATACCAGCGACTTGAAGTTGCCTTACTTTTGTTTCTTCGAAATGGACTTCTTTACTTAGGCATATGAAGATATCATGTATGGCCTTCACCAGTTTAAACCCGTCAGTCAATAGTTTTATTTCATCAAACTTCTTATCCACTTCAATTACTTTATACTCAACGTCACTAATGTACACTTCCCTCCAAAAAATATCTGACCACTTGCCGATCATTTACCGATCATTTGAAATTATAGCTGATTTCGACGTTTATTACTTAACAATTTATTAATAAAATTTTTACA